ACCCTTAAAAATACCCCAGTTATTCAAAATTCTGCAAATAATCCTTTCTAAAATTTTACCGAGGTTATTTGGTTCTTCCTTATAAAACTTAAAATTGTTATGAAGTAATTTTCTACGTAGTTTTTTTAAGAAGTTTATTTTAAAGTATTTAGTCTCAGATATTTTTATTATAAATTGGCGCTCCACCACTGTGCGCTTTTCAAAACACGTTTTGCCTCGCACTGCCAATCTGTGGAACAAGTTATCGGCTGCGGTATTTCCGGACCTTCAAGAAAAGAGCGTACTCCTCCCTCAAAGGCTGGCAACGCGCTTGAGACTCCTGCGTTGCAGGCGTTCCTGGGTCGGCGGTAGTCGCTTTCCATCAGGTGACCCATCTGCTCGTTTGCCCATTCAATAAAAAAAAAAGTCTCTTGTGCAATTTAAACATATTTGTTATATAGTTATTATATTTACTATAACGTAACCCGGCAAAGTCAACTTACAAAAATACAGGTGTAATAATTTCTGGGCTGTATCGTCGAGAAAACACGTTATATTAATTTATTTACTTACTTTTGTAACAATATATTGTTATTCAGTACAGAAAACAACTTGAGAGAAAACAGTGAGAAAACCAGGATAATTTGAGTACCAAATGACTTGTTAAATTAGAGCTAATACTTCGGCTCATAGTTAAAGATAGTGTTAAAAACGGTTGGACGACCGGATGGGGTAGTGGTTTGTGTAACGGACTGCTATTCCAAAGGTCGCGTGTTCGAGTCCCGCTCAAGTCAAACATTTGTGTGCATTCCGGTGCATTTAAACATTATCGGTTATCACGGTAAAAATTAGCCTATGTTATTCGCTGATAATGTAGCTGTCCATTAGTGAAAAAAATATAAAAAAACGGTTTAGTAGTGTAGGCGTGAAAGCGTTATTACCAAACAAAGTCACTATCACATTTATAACATAAGTATAGAAGAATGGATTTTCAATAAACGTATACCTACAACATTGCAAAGTTTGCTTGCAAGTATTAAGATAAAATTAAATAAGTTTAAAGATAACATATTAAAAGTACATACGTATTATATTCATCAATCATGTCACATTTGCCAATAATAGATTTGTATTGTAACTACAAACGTATTCTACAAGAAACGCATTAAAAGAAACGAATTCCAGAAATAGAATCTGACAATCGCGTGAATGCTAATCACAAATTCGAAGATGAATTGAATTGTTTGTGTCATTTGGCAAATAAGTTTAGTTTAATTGAATAATTTACATATTTTTTGTGTCTTTTACACGGCAAAAGCAAATTATAATATATTTTAAAATAATAGAAATGAATTTGTCATGATTGCCCTTTTTATTTGTGTTAGGACCATATTTTAGTTTACTATTCATATTTTGTAAATACGAAAATTTTGTAGGATTCTGAAATATAAGAAACTACTTTGCCTATTATAAAAACTTGTCGAGTTGTTCTACTTTTAACTTACTTTTCATACACAGATTCGCTTAAAGTGCTCTGGTCTAATTTTTTGGTTTTTAACCGACTTCAAAAAGGAGGAGGTTATCAATTCGGATGTTTTTATTTTTTTTAAGTATGTTTGGGCATATCTCCGTCATATCCAGACGGATTTTCAAAATTGTTTTTTTGTTTGAAAGGGGTTTATTTCGGAATGGTGTTATTTAAATTTCATATAGATCTGATGTTGAGTTTCCGAGACAGACAATGGAACTCTTCCAAAAATGACAGCAAATCAACCGCTATTGCTGCTAAATTTGTACTGTTCTTTTTTAGTTCTAGTTCTTTTTTGTAGTATTGTTTCAAATCGGATCATTAGACATTTATATATGGAACAGAAAAGTCGATTAGTTTTATCACGATAACAGCGGCCGACCCTTGCCATGATTGCGTAAGGTAATATTTATTATTTGATCGATGTTATCATTGTGATTAATGAGGCTATATGAAGAGCTCGTGATTCCAGTGTAATGCAAAAATTTGCGTCGTTTTATAATTGGCAACTTTATCATTTACTGCTTGAAAGAACAAAAACTTTGTATTTATTTTACTTCTTTTGTAGTGTAAAAAAACAGCATTAGTTCCATTTCAAATACGTAATGAATAAAATACTATCATAAAAAGCGACTTTAACAATACTATAAGCCAAACTTGGTTTTTTCATAGTTAATGTGACGGCATTGACGGGCCTGTTGGTCTAGTGGTTAGTGACCCTGACTGCTAAACCGGAGGTCGTGGGTTCGATTCCCACCCAGAACAAGTATTTGTGTGATGAGCACGATCGTTTGTTCTGTGTCTGGGTGTAATTTATCTATAATATGTATGTATTTAGAAATATATAAGTATGTTTATCAGCAGTCTGGTTACCATAGCACAGGCTCTGCCTAGTTTGGGATCAGACGGCCGTGTGTGAGATGTGTGATATTATAAAAAAAAAAAAAAAAAAAAATAGCGTTGTTTGTTGTTTTAAGCGTTTTTATAGAAATGAAATGATTTCAGTTCATATATTTAACATACGAAATAAACAGTAAAATTAATAAGGTGTAAGGTACAAATAATATTTATTCAATGTTTCTTTATTTTGTATGAAAAAGAAAATACAATAAAGTTATCGGAAGGTACGTCGGAGGGTACGGCTTAAAATCGCATGTAGCGTTTATAATACGTTTGACGCGTGTACTTTCAGCAGTCTGCAAATAACCGTGTCTGTCTTGCAGTTTCCTTCGTAAAAATGTAGCTTCACTATTCCCGGGAGATTTCCGAAAAAATATTCGGACTTATACCGACTGCGGGTTTCATCAACATCCCTCCCTATCAGTTGGATAATAGTCACTCTACCACCGTACGTTTTTTCATAAAACGTTTTACCCCACACAATCAATATGTGGATCGATTTCTAAACCTTCAAAAAAAGAGTGTGTTCTCACCTCAAAGACCGTTTTCACCTCAAACACAGTTGTGACTTCTGAGTTGCGTGCATTCATAGCCGACGGTAGCCACTTTCGTCAAGACTCAGGCGACCTGTGTGCTTATCATCATCGTCATCAACAGCCTCTAACAATCCACTGTTTGACATAGGCCTCTCCTTAGAAAGGAGGTTTTGGCCTACTATACAACGCTGGCCAGACGGGTTGATATAGGGTTGTTTCAAGTTTTCCTTCTCTTTGCAGTGCTGTTGTCCTGCGTAGTTTGCCCCCCTTAGTCGGCTCTTACGACACCCACGGGATGAATAGGCGTGGTGACATACCGTATTCTTAATCTGTCACCACACGGACTATTTTTAATCCGTCACTACACGGACTACGTCACCACACGGACTAATTCCTCTAATTCCAAAACCTGTCTGCTCGTTTGTCCTTATAATAAAAAAAGAGAATCAAGAAACTTATCCGTTTTTATAAATAATAAAATCGATTAATATTTTAGTTGAATCGACAAGATGTTGTCATTAGTTGACTAATAGCCGAAATGTAAAAAAATGTTATAAATTACGCTAGTAACCTTGTATTTGTATGGGTTAATTGATATAATAATGTCAAATAGTAATTTAAAAACATCAGTCACGTAATTTAATGCCTGTAGATAAAACTACAGTAATGGAAAAAAGTTTTAGGTCCATTGGCTCACCAAACATAAACATTAATTACATATGAAAGCGGATGCGACCTTATAACAGTATTATTTTATATCGAATTTAATGGGCCTCTGCCCTATTTACTTGAGATGTACCTATTGTTACGATTTATGCTATAAAATTATAAACTTTTTGAGAATCTTATAATTTCTTTATAGAATATAAAGAAAGAGTAATGGATTTAGTCTGGTGCCTAGTTGTTCGTCACTCTCTCTCTGGTACTCTTAGTAAGATACATAATTTTAAAATTCTTTTTAGAAATTGTCCGACCAATTTTTGTAACTTTAAGTAACGTAAATTTATAAACGGCAAACCATTTTACTTTTGCTTAGCCGTATTATATCGTCAAATTACAGTTACTGTATATACATAGGTACGTAAATATGCTACTAACGTCTATATACCGGAAGAGTAAACAGAGAAAGAACAGTGGCGTTAAACACCCGCATGTTACCAATAATAATTAGTAGGAAGTCAGAGACATTTAAATTCTGCTGCTGTTATTGCAACGAGCAAGTTAGTTAATGCATCACCTAAATAATCTGATTTTACACGACAGAAAAGAGAAGGATTATATGTTTGACTTTTATGTACACAATTTTGTCCATCCCTGTCACGCCACGAATAAAGACAACTCAATATTTTAGTTATACATGACAAGAAAATATTGTGTATTGTCTAGTTTATGGGGTTGACATACCTCGATGGATGTCAAAAAATTATTTATTTGTTTCCAACACTATTGATGTAAATAGGTATGTAAAAACTTACTTTCATTTTCAACTAAATTAAATCTATAATACAGTATCATCCATTTCGTTTATATGAGTGATTTCTAGTCAAAACAAAATCACTGATAACTTTTCGCGCTTAAGAACGTGATCCTGCGCGAAAGGATTATATTTTCAAAAGAATAGACCCCATTCATAATCTATTATAAGTTAAAATTTATCTCACAAGTTGGAGAATTCAAGACTACATGCTTAAGTAAATTAACACCTAAGTAACTTTCACCACCAACTAAATGATCTTATTTACAGTAACTAAGATTTAATTATTTACAAGTAGAGTATCATGTCAATAAATAAGATTTGCTAGAACTATAAATTTGCTACTTTAGACTACTTTCGAACTATAAATTATTCATGAATGAACACAATATTATTAAAAACCTCTTTATTTGAAGCAATTTATTAATTTTGTTATCGTATGTTTAGAATCTTGATTAATTTCCCTTTTATTTGGAAGTAACAACAGGCTATGACTCTTGTCATAAATTTGTTATGAAAATGCCCACTTCTATTGCGATAATTTACATTAGTTTAATCAAAGTTTTTTTTATATAGTACTTACTTGAAACGGCACAGCAAATAATCCTATGACTATATCAGCTAAAGCTAAATTCGCGATGTAGCAATTAGTGACGCTCTGCATTCGCCTCGACGTGGCCACAACCCACATCACAAGGAAGTTTCCGACAACGGCTAGCACTGATATTGAGCCATACAGAAAAGACAGCAACACTATCATGCCAGTGGGAACGTCATATAACGTTTCTGAAACAAAAAGAATTCCATTAAGGCAACAAATAATTTTTACTTATTTTTTCCTGACAAAAAAGAGATCGCTTGGTGAAAGTTAATCATTAATCTCGAGCCTCTATAAACATTCTGTTTTAGACAGAAAAATAACGAGTATTTATTGTTTTTGTAATGAACTCGTGTTATTTTTGATGAAGTGGTGAAATTGAATGAGAGGGGGGCGGGTGCTGTGGGGTAAATTGAATAGCAATTTTATTTATTTATTTTATAATTTATATAATAATTTAATAATAAAATCTACAAATGATGTGCCCACATCACTTCTTACTCGTCTAAATCCCGTGCACTGTCATTTCTCATCTTTATCTGAATCAGTCCCCAGTATTTCTGCTCCCACAGATGTTCTTGTCAAAAATCTGCTGGGTATTCCATTAATGTGAAAACATTTTCCATGAAATATCCTTAGCAGTTGTTAGGCATATCTCAATGGTTTATACTATTTATAAATAATCTATAACTTAGCATAAAAATAATAATAATAAACCTATGATAAAGCAGTATATTTAAATTATAATAAAGCAGCTTCAGTACAGACAGAAGTTTGTTACCAGATTTTATTCATGTTTTAATAACTTTGTTCACAGAAGTTTCAGGGATTAGAATTCAAAAAATTTGAGGATACTACGAGTATATAATTAAAACATATCATAGGGTTTCGCTCACATAAATTACTCTTAATCTAATTTATTTATTGTCGTTTTTGTCCATTCAAAGGTTTTTGTAAGAAACCCCTGCACAATGTACTATTGAGTGATAACACGCCCTTTGCACATACTTTCCGTACATATTATTTCTTATCTATTTCTATATTAGATAGAAATTATTATAAGCAAATGACTTGCCTGATTTTTTTAAAGATAAATATTAAGTTATTATATAACTTTAAAAGAGTCACTACGTATAATTCGCATCGCATCAACCTTTCAAAGCGTCTTATTTCGAAATAAATTAGAAGGACTTTGATTGATTTTGGTCAGGATGTTTTTACAGCTAATGAAGAAAAAGTAACCGTTAGTTGTATATTTTTGACCCCATTTTGTAAATCACACAAAAAAGGAATAAAGTATATACTAATACAACAAGAATTGATGCAAGCTGAAGCAATAAGGCGTTGTTTTTTTAGGCGCTCATACCATAACACTATTAAAGAAATTACTGAAATTCTGTGTCAAGTTTTGTATTTCAGAAAATTTTGATTTGGACTACACTCTATGGGATATATAAGTTTGAAACAATAAAAAACAATGCATTTCTTTTAACGAAACTATTGGTCTATTCGCACCAAGAGCAAATATTATGTGATGAGGACGATTGTTTGGTCTGTGTCTGCGTGTCGTTTATTTATATAATGTTTGTATTTTGAAATATATAAGTATGTTTATCAGCTGTCTGTCGGAGCCTGTTATTGACTATTACAGACTCTGCCTAGTTTAGTATCAGATGACTGTCAGTGGCATGTGTTAAGTGATTATTACTAGCTAGCTAATAAAGCCCGTCCGTAATTAATCCCCTTCATAAAATCCGCGTGGTGACGGATTAAGAATAAAGTGTGTCATCACCCCTATTCTTGAAGTGGGTGTGGAAAAAGCTGACTCAGAGAGTAAACTACATTGGTCAACAGCTCTGCAAAGAGAAGGAAAACTTGAAACAAACCCTATAGCGAACCCATCGGGCCAGCGTGGTGTATGGGCCAAAACCTCCTTTCTAAGGAGAGGCATATGTCCAGCAGTAGACTATTAAAGACTGTTGATGATGACGATGATGAATTTGTTAATAATTTTAAATTATTAATCACCACCCAATGTGTGTGTTGTAATTTATAATGTATAATAGTAACACTCTCTTAGCGAAGATCAACCGCCTCTCCTTCAACCTTTAAATTACCGTTATGACATCACGTCTAAATTTGCGTATCTTTATGCGGTTTCTGTTGTACTATACGTGCTTCAATAAGAATTATTATTTTTAATATTCTCATTCGTTAATAGACCGAATAAAATAGGACTACCCCAGTGAGTAATTGAAAATACTTGTGTCGCTTCTGCTCGTGATTTACAATACCTCAATGATGAAGTAGGATCAGACATGAGTTATTGTTGTTATTCTTCAATATAACTTGAATCAATTAGTTTATTTAATCTATTACGTATTTCGTTTTTATCCTTACTACACATCTAGTAACTTCAAACTTCAAACATCAAACGTTAAAATATCCCATGTTCCCGGCAAAAAGGCATAGGCTTTATTTCCCCGTAAGTATTTATCTTTTATGGTTTTTGTAAAATTTAATTATGATTCATTTTCATTTGCTATTTGTTTCCTTAATGCTTTTTACTAGAGATGTAACGAATAGTGATTTGGCCGAATACCGAATAACGCAAGTGTCTTGTCAGATTCGCCAAATAGTCGGCAACAATTAGCACCTTTCACAAGTTTAAACCTGAATCAGCAAAATAATATCCTAACAAAATTTGACAAGACTTATTCATTATCTCCTGGAAGCAGGATATTTTATACAGTGAGCGGCTATTTTTCGAAGCAGGTATAATTTATTTAATTTAATAGCAGGTTTAATTATAATTTACGAGAAAAATCGGTGTTTGGCGGCATAGTTCTGAATATTCGGCCGAATACCGCATAGTTGCCGAATATTCGTAGCATTTATACTTTTAACTGTCACACAATACTTTAACCAGCTAAGAAAGAAATTATTAATTCACTTCAGCATTTTCTATTATTTTATACATGTACACTTTGATCTCCAATTTTTAAACTTTTAAATGTAACAAACATATGGTTCAATTTTAAATAAATTGAAAAATCCCTGAATTACTTCCAAAGTTTTAGCTCTCTTAGCAAAACTAAAGTGGTAATAAGTGTAGATCCCTGGCGGAATATCGGCTCAATAAATAGATTTGAGTGTCAGTAAAACGATCGTACGCTTGGTACGCAATATGTCTACGGTGGCGCTTACGTAATGGCTTTGTGTCCGACGTTATAGGTCTATAAATAAAAAGTTCCAAGTTTAGATCTCCACTAATTACGAAGATGCGTAATTAGTGGAGATCTTCTTAATCTTCTTTTATGTAATCGTGATAACGAATAAAGGTCAGGATCAGTTTATTTCTCATCGCCAATGGTCCAAATTCATTGCAAATGGATTTTCTACTGAGACATGACTCACATATGTTTAAAGTTTGTGAATTTCTATTCAAATAGGCTAATAAGGTGATGAATCTTCAAGGTTTGTTGAATTCAATAATATTCGTCATATTTATGTATATGTGTGTATTTTAACGAATCCGACAGAATGGGGTTGGCAACGATAGTAATAATAACAATACTTTTGGACATCTAACACATAACGCCATCTAGTTTCAAACTAAACAGAGCTTATACTATGAGAGCTAGATTTACTGACTGTCTAGAATTCTATTTTACATAGAAAATACCCAAATTCAGAAACAAATATTTGCAGATCATACAAACATTTGGTCCGACTCGGGAATCGAGCTCGAATGCGACTGCTGTGCACATCACAGCAGTCGCATGCACCACCGAGGCAGTTAAAGCAACGATGATCTAATAATAAAACCTGGAGATGAAAAAGGACACTCTTTTTACTTTTTCATTCGGTGAGCCATTTTAACGGGTATTCTAAGATGCGAGTAGTTAGTGAACTCTTCTACACATGTATGGCGTGATAGTTTTTAGTATTGATTTCCCTTGTACCTCCATCTGTATGTCCCAAAATCCCGGAATCGCTAGAAATTATTAGGTACTTACCAAAAGTATCATTCGTCCCATTTTGTATGTACTCAATTCGGTCAATTGAAGTATTTCTTGACCAATCCGTGTCATCATCTTGAGTAGTATTTGTAGTACTGTAAACAAAACAAAATGTATACTACTGTTACTGTTATTTATTGTAATCTGTATAGTAATTAATCTGACAATAACTCTAAAACGTCGTGAAAATGACATGAAACCTTTTTAACTATTCATTAGATTAGAAGGCATTGATACTGAGTGCTATGTCCAGCAGTAGACTACACTAAAGACTGATGATGATGATGATACCAAAATTAACAACAAGCGTAGAGATAGGTATAGCATTTAAATTTTTAAAAAGTTTGGAAGTAGTGCGTTTTTTAACCAATTATATGAATTTAATAATTACATTTGTTTTCATTTTATGTTGTTATATAAAAGGAAGAAATGAGCCAGTGATTTAAATAATATTAGACTCAAATGACTCTTTTAGGTGAGTACAATTGCTAATAAAACTTTTGAAACCATGTAATCTGAGTCTGAGTGTTCTTTGTGTCCGTTTACACAGGATACATTCCTAATGAGGGAGTAGTCTTTTTATAGAAAGAAAAAAAGAAAGAAAAGTAATAGTTTGTGTTACATAATAAATCAAGATTAGATCGGATCGAACTAGACTAGAGCAGACTAGATAATATTAGATCAAATCAAATCAAGCTAAGATTAGATGAAATCACTTATTTGAAAGAAATAAATTAGGAAAGATTATCTGCTAGAGACCGCTATTAGCGATAAAACGGTTGTACCTAAAAGTGAGACTAAATTTCATATGGATTGTATTTTTACATGGTGTGCAAATGATGATGATGTACATAAACCAATATTCTGTCAGGAGTAGCAGTTAGTCAGAATAAGCCTATCGTGGCCTGTTTTAATAAAAATAATTAAAATTTTAGTGACAAGTTCAACGCAAGTTTTATGCAATGGTAGAAGTACTTGAAATCGAAGATCACTCTTTGTAACATATAATAGAATGCTATTACATGTTACAAAGAGTGATGGGCACCCGCCCATCTAGTTCGGCTGTAGACCCCTACAGCCGAACTAGATTATAAACCTGTATCTTAGCATATGGCGTCATCCCCTTCTAGGTACAATGTTACAAAAATGCGTTGAAAAAATATCTTACAAAGTGATAGTCGATGTTTCTGCTCTGCATCAGGGTCACAGAGCGGATTCGGCAGCTGCACCCAGGGTGACAAAGCATCCTATTCAGGGAGGCACTGCTTTCCTCGCTCATCCGGGGGTTGGAAAAGGTACCCTAAACAAATGCTTACTCCAACCTATAAGGAGGGTAGCAACCGCGGCTGCCTCTATAACTCAATTCGCGGTTGACGCTACTAGAAAGTTAATCATAAAACTCCAACATCAATGACGTTTGGTGCGTAGAATGTGCGCACACTTCTGACCGTGCGACAAGTGCTTGTCTGGAGTGAAAGACTGTCATTGTAGCTCGAGAACTTCATCGCTATAACATCGATGTGGCTGCTCTGAGCGAAACACATCTCCCCGACGAAGAAGAGTTGATAGAACACCGTGACTGATATACTTTCTTTTAGAAGGGACTTGCTTGCTCAGAGCCGCGAAGGTCAGGGTTAGTCTTTGCTGTCAAGAATAACCTTGCTAAACAACTTCTGGATACCCTATGCACATCTCGGACCTCATTACCATATTACGCCTGCACATGGAACATGACAACTACCTTATTGACATCAATGTCTATGCCCCTACGCTAGACAAGTCTGATGAGTTTAAGTAAAAAAATCTATGAAGAATTAACGCGGTGCATAGATCGTATTCGTCCAAGTAAACAGATCCCACTCTTGGGCAACTTTAACGCCAGACTAAGACGAGATCACGAAGCCTGGCCCTTTTTTGGGCAGACACAGTGTCAGTAATATGAACAGCAACGGGCAACTGTTGCTTAGTCTTTGCTTATCTCTTACATCTTGTAATCACGATCTATGTTCAGATTGGCTGCCAAGTACAAGACAACGTGGATGCACCCCAGATCCAAGAACTGGCACCTTATCGATTACGCTATCGTGCGTCAAAGAGACCTTTCCCAAGTCCAGGTTATTCGTATCATGCGAGGTGCTCACTGTTGGACTGATCATCGGCTTCTTAAAATTAGGGAGGAAATACTCGAGTGACGGGCCGAGCATTTTCACACTCAACGTGGATCGTCCTGTTGACCTAGACCACATTCGCTCCTTACCTCAACAACCTCCTGTCCCCGAATTCGACGAGCCAGTCTCACTAGACGAGGTCACCCTTAAGCAACAGCAAAATGGTTTGTGTAGAGTTTATACCGGGTGAGCTATTGAAGTACTCGACGATGTGGGAACTTTACACCGTTATGTAGGAAAAAGAACAAGTCCCTAATACTTTTAAAGTATCTCTCATTAGGGCCCTATATAACAGTAAAGGTGACCGAGCTGATTGCGGTTCTTACCGCGGTATTTCTCTACTCTCAGTGCCTGGTAAAGTCTTCACTAGAGTGCTCCTAAACCGCCTCAGGGATCTGAAAAGTTTCTGCCAGAATCACAGTTTAGTTTCCGACCTGGCCGTAGTACTTGTGAGGCAATTTTCTCATTGCATCAATTGCAAGAAAAAAGCAGAGAATAGAGTCGTAATACATATCTCTGCTTTGTTGGCCTTGAGAAGGCATTCAACATTGTACCGCGAGAAGCCCTCTGGATAGTGCTGCGAAAACTTAGATGCACGGAGAAGTTTGTGAGAATTTTGAAACTCCTGCATGACGACATGCACAGCTGCGTGATTGTCAACGCTTATCAGTCAGAGTTCTTCCCTGTTACTTGTGGAGTAAAACATTAGTGAGTCCTCGCTCCCACGCTGTTCGCGCTATACTTTGTAGACGTAGTCCAGGGGGTCTTACAGATAACCCCTGAAGAAATCTGCATCCGTTACTGCAACTTAGCTAGACTGAAAGCACGTACGAAAGTGTCTAACGCACTAATCACACAGATCGTTTATGCAGATGATCTATGCTTTGTGACCGATTCCCCAGATGGCCGGCAGCCCCGGATGGCGTAGTTTTGGTCTAAAGATTAGTTTCAAAAAGTCGGAGCTGATGTCTTTAGATTTCCAGGGTCAAGAGACACTGACCATCAAACTCGGGGATATACTTCAGCAGGTCAATACATTCCATTATCTAGGGAGCACTATATCATCAAATCGGGACCTTGATGCTGAAATCAACAGTCGGATCAGTGCTGCAGCTGCCATAATCAGTAAACTGGATCGCAAGGTTTTTAATTCATACGACTTTAAGCTGGTTACCATGATTGGCATATATGTATAAAGCGGTGCTGCTGCCGAACATACTGTACTCTTCCAAGTCATGGACAGTCTATCGCCGCCATATAAGAGCGCTGGATCGCTTCCACATGAAATGTCTGCGCAAAATACTCAACATCCGTTGGATTGATCGCATTCGAAATATGTAAGTGCTGCAAAAAGCCAATATCATTGGGATTGAGACTTACCTCGGCGGCAACTAAGCTAGTGTGTGACATGTGTCTAAAATGGCAGAAAAACGTACGGCAAAGTGCATCTTTTTCTCGGAACTTGAGGAGGGCAAGCGTAAGCATGGCGGACAACTCCTCAGGTATAAAGATGTTCTCAAGCGCCACATGAAGAAGTGCGATATTGAGCCTTCAGGGTGGGAGCAATCAGCTGCTCAGCGGTCGTAATGGAGGTCTTTGGTGAAAACCAGAGCCGAAGCCTTTGAGGACAATCGGTTCTCTGTACTGGATATTCAGCGTGATAAAATAAAAGCACCTTGTGTCACCTACAATTACTGCAATGGTGTGCTCACATGCTCGCATTGTGAGCTTACATTTATCAATAAGATGTTAGCCACACACGAGCACACCAACGACAATTCGAACGGAGTTGAAGTCGGTCGCCGTGGCTGAAATCGGTCGAGAATAGTAGTAGTAGTATTCATATGTGTATGTTGTGTGTCTCAATCACATATTTGATCAACAATCAATAACTATTAGGTTTTCAGTTTTGTCATAAGACAGATTCTGTAAATAGGTAAATAAACTTTCCTTTGCACTCCGCTTTACTAAGAGGATAAATGTTTTCTGTTTTATAATATAAGATGATTTATTATTTATTACGTAGGTCTTATAGAGAAAAACAGAGAAGACACTTTGAAGACCAATTTAACATTATATTTTCTTTAAGGTCGATCGTTCCCACATGCTATCGCTCATAGATCTTTTAGGTGAGCATGATATACTTAAGGGACTATTTCATAACTTTTGCCAGACATTTCATAAATGAATTTACCACCCTCTAATTTCTCTAGGACCTTGTTAGGCTTTGAAACGAATACAATCTGAGTTAAATGGTTTTGGATAAGAATTTAGAACTTTTTTAAATTTGTAATATAAACTACCTGAGTCTGTCAATTCTACTTTCGTAGTTTTGGATATTCTAAGAGAATCCTCTTACGGGATGCTACACTGATAGAAGTCACCACCGACAACGCAACAAATACAATTCGGCTAGCGACCGTTTAATATTTCATGTTAAAATTCATCTTTAAATTGTTATTAAAATATGTCTATATTTAGAAACGAAAATCGACTATTCCTTTTGTTACATTCTTATAAACTAAAAATTTAAAACTGTTATTCAGATTAAAATGCTACCCGGATTGTTTAAACGAAAGTGACGTCAAAGCAAATATTGTGAACTCGGGCATTCGTGCTACATGCGTAGTACTGATAACGCTGTTTGTTAAAACATTGTACTTATTACAATAAAATTGGTAATGAATTCGAGTCAGTATGTTATTCTACAAAAACTTAACATCTTTCTAGAGATAGTATTGTCTCTTCAGCATCCATTAAAACCGTTACAATACATGTTAAATGTAAATTTTGGCAAATTAAAAATAGAAATCGGACTTGTCACTTAAACTATTGTAAGGTAAAGGCTAAACTATTGTAAGGCTCCTATTACGGAGGCATTTGGCAACCTTTGAAAGTAACAAAGATAGATTAGCATTCGTAACTGT